CCTGCTTGGTGGTCGCTCACTGCACGTTGCAGATGACTTTGAGGCAACTGGTTCTGAGTCTGAGATGATGAAAGTCTGCATGAGGAGATCAAGGAGCGTGCCGAATGAATCGAGAGCTCGGGTGATGTTGTTTTGTTGTTTTGGAGTCCGGTTGATGCCTTTGGGACCAAAGGGTATAACATACGATGTTTGATGAGAGTGCACCGAAAAAGATAATTTTCGCGGTTTGTAGCAGAGTTTGCAAGTCACCTTCTTTTACGACACTAGGTAGGTAAAATTGGATCAGGACACGTTTTCTCGAACGGAGAACTTTTCAACCGAGGTTACACCATGAATAGAATGATTGTGGTCATGGTACAAGCTACAATGCACACGAATTGGTGGACAAGGGAGAGGAAGTCGGGAAGGCAGGAGCTCGTGCCTGTATTGAATGTCGGTTTGGCCATCCACACTTTCATCCAAGAAACAGCGCCCATCCCGAAGGCAATCCAAAGGGTCGCCGTTACATCTGCAGCCCATTCCCAACCAGGCTGGACATCTAAAGGAACTGGATTCCTTTGCCAGTTCCTTGAAAACAAGGTTCAGCCCTCGAGTCTGATAAGCATTACTAACACAGTGGATTGGTTGGTACCCACCAGAGGAGGGGAGGATTCAGAGGGAAATGCGCGTTATTACAGGGTCTGTCCAATTCACACTTAATTTTAGAGCCCTCAAATAAATACACACAACTCCGAGTCTACAGGTCTTGACAACTAATGCACAACTAGCTTCCTACCTCAACAAGACAAAGCTTGCATCAGGATAGGCAGCCAAGGCTTTGGTGTTCGAGACAGCATTCAACGACACCTTCTGGTCATCTAGTCTGCATTACTACAAGAGAACCAACGATTTCACTTAACATCGTTGAATAGGTATAACAATAACCATTCACTTGTATTACATGCTCGCAGATTGAGCACAAGTCCTACCTCTGCTCTTACGTTCTTTGTCCTCGGGTTGCAGATCATAGAGCTACAGGGATCATCATGGATACTCGCTCTGCACTTTAGTGGCTTGTCTGCTGCACAGGAGGGTTCACGACTGTGCTTGGGTGGTTTAGCGCATCATGGGAAATAATGGGCAGAAAGTCACCATCGACATTTCTACTCCTTCAGGGACTAAGGGTGTTGTTAGTATTCCTGGTGACATATCCGGTGTGCAAGTTGATGGCAAAGCTCTGGCTGTTAGTGCGTCAAGGCTGCTTGTGGAAGGAGGGAATCATACGATTAATGCAAGCATGAACTGAATGTTATTCATGGGATTTTTACAATACCTTGTTATTGATATCGGAAACATTTGAGCAATGTCTAAAATTAGTTTCCGACTCTTTAAAAAGATAGTGACGTCTCGGCATTCTCAAAGCAGATGAAGATTTCACCAATCATCATAGAGGTTTGCTCTAGATGCAGTTGGGAGCTCTGTAGATCAAGAACTGCTTCAGCTGACAAAACCGTCAAGATGATACGTCCCAAATGGCAGATACACAGCGCGGACTCGAATATACTCCGTGATGAAGAGCACGCGAGCACACGACATGAAAAGAGAGAAGCAGTCATCTCAAGTCGCCGCAGGAACCTAGTACGAGTCCGTTGGATACGGAGCCGTGCACTTTATAGTTCACTAGGCTTAGGCGCCCGTGCTGAACGACGATGAACTCAGACGCGCATTCTGCGGTGCGGTTATCGACGGCAACATTCGCGTGCCTTGTCTGTATTCGGAAAGGAAACGTAAAACTGATACGGCTGTTGCCGACAGTGTGTCCCTGCTGTTTACGATACAACCTTGATTTCTGAACTGTGAGTGAGCCTTCGATCTGTAAATTGTCTCTGGTTTTCGGGCCTTGCAAAAATCGGTTTCAGCTTTCATTACAGCAGATGTGAACCGCCATGGAGTCTTTATGCTTCAAAAATTTCCTAAAGGGAATGTCGGCGAGTGAAAGTATCCAAACACAGGTGAAACTTCTCATCAGCAACGAGATGAACGAGAAAAAGAGGTAACCAAAATACTCACTTTGGTCAACCGACCACATGGCATGCCGGGAAAAGGTATCACGCCAAGACCTTAAGAAGGGAAGACGAGGCTGGGTTCTACCGACGTTGCAAAGAGGAAAATGAGTAAAAGTTTGTGCATGTGAAGTTTCATTGCATAATCGGGAATAAGGGACCACTAATAATCGAATCCAGATCGCACAGCCCTTCGCCTCCGCACTCTCCGAGTCGACTTCACACGTTCTAGAAGGAAGAAATGCCGCTGATCCGCTCGTTCGCTCACCACGGGCGATCTCACTTCTTCACAAGACACAAGTTCGAATGCTTTGTTGATGATTTTCGTCACACAAAACACAGCTCAAGCTATGTATGCGATGCGATGTGCACGATCTGCGAGATTTGCGATTGTTGGCGAGTGGACACGGACGGGAGAGGGAGCGAACGGTTTTCTTTCTTCGAGGTCGAGGGGTTTCGGGAGAGATTTTCGTTTGCTTGTGTCCGAGTCGGATGGGTTGAGGCGCATGCAGGTGATTTTTCCTTCCTCCGCTCCGCAAAGTATGCAAATAGGAATTCGGAAGCGGGTTCCGACTCATCGAGTGGCTTTACAGGCAGACAAAAACACGGAACGCCTTTCATCTTCCTTAAATTACCGAGTCGGTCATCTTCTGCAATCAGCTTATCGAAGTATGCATGCCACCGACGTATGCGATTAGGACGTCGGATGTAAGTTCCGACCCGTCAAGTAGCTTTACGGACAGACAAAAACACGAAACGTCTTTCGTCTTTCTGCCAAATTACCGAGCCCGACCTTTATCGGCGGTGTTATGTACATTTTTGCGTATACATACGACGCATCATTTGGTTTCATGACAGTGCATGCTAAATGCCATGTTGTGCCGCCTGTGGGATTACCGGTAGCACCGGGGAATGTCACATCAAAACAGAGTGAAAAATCTAAATGCATCTTAAAACCGTTTTTACCGACCGCGCCCGGCAGTCGAGCTCGGTCTCGGAGAAGACGGAGTATTTTCTTTGAGTTTGTCGAATTTGAGTTGAGAGCACAGCCGTCCACCAGGTATGAATCCCGAGATTCTCTTTCTTTCGGTATTTTTTAATCTTTGCGCGCTTTGTCAGGCGATGAGTAATGTGTTTCGTGAATTTCATCACTGAGAAGCCCGATTTCATATTCTTGTGCATTAATACTGATGTGCATATGGACTGGATGATTGTGGATGCCTGTCTGGAGTAGCTGACTGGTGCTCCCGGACACAAGGTTTGCAAAACCCTGTAGATACAAAACAAGTTTACTTAGATGCCGTTGTGGCAGAAATGCAGTCGTCGCAGTCAGCATCAGACTTCGGAACACGAGTGTAGTCTGTAAGTTAAGTAAGCGGCTAGCTGTACAAGCGAAAGAAAATGAACGACCACTAACGATAACGATTTGCAAATCCCGACATAGCCTAGAATGTTTTTCATCATCCCTGCAGAACTTAGTCAAACAAAGTAACGTATAGTGAAGTGATGAGTCAGGGTTGATGAGGATGCTGAAATCAGACAAATCAGACCAACAGCCACAGCTGTAAATGACTAGACGCACAGAAGACAGAGTCATTGTTTCATGCTTCTGCAGAAGTTGTAAGTCAGTTAGCTGCAGATAAGATGAAACGGCTCCATAGCCAGAGTTGTTCGGTGAATTAGCGATCAAGTCTTCTTCGTAATGCGGCTTCTTACAGCCATACCCAATCATCTTGGTTTTCGTCAATGCTTTCTGAGTCTATATGGCAGTTGCCACAGGTTGCGAATCATTCGTCTGGAAGAATCAGTGAAGCGAGATCGGTGCAGAGGAAGTGCCGTTTTCGCATATTGTTTGGCGAAAACTTTAGAAGCACGAAGAAGTGCAATTGCTTGTTATTGTATCCGTGCATGGATCTTCGTTTTGTAGGACAATTGCGGTGCTTGTTGGAGTAAACAGATTTAATGGCATTTATTGTACCAGTGCAGATATGAAGCCAAGTTGGGGAAATGCATGCGAGATTAGTGTTTCAAAGTCGTCGACATGGACACCATAATTGAATGGGATGCATATTTTCCCGGGATTGACGGGAAAAACTAGCAAGTAGACTCGGAGAAATAGCAATGTTTTTCTCAGGCCTATATGGTTGCTGAGTAAGGTTTGAAGATAGAAGATACGAACTTTGATAAATGATAGGACCACAAACCTGAGTGTGGATGTTGTTGGGACTGAACATGCGGCGTCTTGGCATTTTTTCGGCGAGGTGGCGGCACGAAAGGATGACGAGGAGGGTAAACACGAGGGAAAAAAGCGACCAATTGTGACATAGAGAAATGGACGACGGTGAATAAGGTAGAGGCTTTTGATGGAACTGTGAAATGACATGGAATGGCTTGGCGATGTGCCGGAGACGGAAATCGAGCGACGTCGGCCGGGGAAATGCGATCAATCGAGCAGGGCTAATGGCCATGGATATGGACCACCACGAAGATCAGAGTGCACCGCCCCGGACGCTAAGTTGTGTCATCAGGGCGCAGATCAGGAACTCCATTATGTCATTGTCCCTCAGTTACCCACTTGCAAGACAGAGCCATTCATTCATTCAACACAATACAGGGATAGGCCGAGACAGGGATCGCAGCAGACATATGGAGCGGAGAACGTTCATGTATGGAGGGAGGGCACATGAGAGACAGTTCGCGAGACAAAGAGCAGCAAGCAGAAAGACGAATTTGCGCGATGAGAGATGAGGAAAGAGAAACAAGAACAAGGGCCGAACGCATTGACGGGATACGCTCTCCGTGGTGGGAAGTCCTTCCGCTCACGTGACGTTATGTGCGGACCCGCCTTGGTTCAGCGACTCCTTTCAGCCCAACAGGCATGCAGCATCAGGCCGCGCAGGACTCATTGTGAACATTGCATCTTTGATTTAATCACGCCGTGCGTTCACGAGATGGCCATATTTGACGGGAAGGCCCTCTTATGGGCGAGGCAGTGCGGGGTAAGACTCGAGTTAGGTATTTGCACGAGCGCATACGATCCGACGGAGGCGAGGGAAGGGAAGTGAGGCAGGGGAAAGTCTAATCATCAGCATCATCAGTCGAGCCATATGCTCGCATCAGAGCGCGTTCCCTGAGCCAGAACTGCCAGACTAGGACTAGGAGAGGTGTGACTAACAGCCGATGCCGACCGCGCACTGGTTAACATCCTTCCGCCCGACTATATAGCCTAAATCACCTAAGCCCCGCCTCCCTCCTTCTATCCCTGTCCCTCCTCTACACTACTTAATCCCGTCCGTCCCGTCCTCCCCTCTCCTCCTCCTTTTCGCTTAGCACCATCTTCTTTCTTGTTCCCCGTTCCATTTGTCATGCTCGTTGCTAGTCACTTTTAATCCCCATACCTAGAGTCTACCTTCTTGCCTACTTAACCAGACTCTGACTCTCTACACTTGCTATACTCTACCGGACCCGCCAGCTTATATTTCTCGGTCTCGGAGCAAGCACCACTATATCTACCCGATTCTCTACGAGCGCTACTCTATTCTACTTAACTCGACACCATCTTGCTTGCTAGACAAATGGCTCACCAAGCAGCAACACCATCAGACTCTGGATCAGCATCTGCGTCCCCCGCGGATGCTGCCGCTAGTGCCGGAAGAACCACTGGAGGAGCTACCTCGCTAGCGCGGGGCAAGGCCTGTTTGAGATGTCGGAAACGGAAGATGGTGAGTATGAGTATCACGTGCCATTCCAGCAATTTCTGTCTCTATCCCGTTTGTACTTCGCACTTTATGTTCCAAGCGTCTGGTACGCTTCTCATCACGTTCCGCAGCTTGATGCGGGACGGTGCTATGAAAGCGCCTTGTTCCATCTCAACTTTTGTTTTGTATCCATGTGCTGCGTATTACCTTCCACCCGTGCAATCGGACTTCGATTTCACTTCTGCTTTTTTACTAACATGTTGTACCCTTCTTAGCGTTGCGATGGTGCACACCCAGCTTGCGCTCAATGCGTACGTGCACACAAGGCTGATGTGTGCGCTTATGACGATGGGCGTGGTAAGACCCGCACTCAAGCTCTTCGAGAGAGGATCGTCCGGCTGGAGGCGGAGCTTCAGCGGCTCCGCGACGGCCGCGGTGACTCTGCCACTGGAAATTTGGGAATGCGCGAGGACAGCGTGTTCCTGATGGACCCGCATGCACCACCCCCTCCGCCTTCTTCAAGTGCAAGTAGCGACAGCAGTGCTTTCGAAGGACTTGATTACATTGATTTTGGCGCCGATGCGTTCGGCGACATGGAATCGAGAGTGGGAATGGACATCGAACGTCCCGCAACAAGCCTTTCGGACCCTGCTGTCCCTGGCTCTGCAATCGCCTCCGAACCAATGTCCTTCACCTCGGACACCGAAGAATACGAGCTCCAAAGGAACCGAACGATCCGTCAAAGTGACCACCAATTACGTGCGCCGAGAGAGAGGCAACGTCCATCGTCAGGCGTATTTGGATATAGCGCTAACCATCCGCTGGTACAGCAAGCGCAGGGCTATTCATCTCAACCTCAATTTCAATTCCAGCAAGGGCCGAGTGGACATGGACACTCGAGAACGTCAAGTACCGGATCTCCGAGCCCAAGCTCAAGCACTGTGGGAAGCATTGGAGGACACGCCGGCCATAGTGTTGGCGAGTCCCCATATAGCGGTTATGCTGGTCAGTCTTTTATCCGATGTTTTTTGTTTGTATTGTTTGACTGACTTAAAATAATCCAGAACCGCTGCCGTTCGATTTCTCGCCTTTCCACTCACCCGACCCAAGCATGTATGCACCAGCCGTCCCCGCCTTTGTATCATCGCAGCCAGCATATTCGTCCATCATAGATCAAGAAATCCAGGCGGGAATTAACGCTGAAACAGAATCAACACTTGTTCAATTTGTCCTTGCACACCGCGAGCAAGTCGGCCTTGTCCTTCACCCGGGGCGACTCCTCGCAGCGTTTTCTCAGTCTCCTGATTGGCAACGTCATCCCGTTTTAAAAGATGCAGTTGTTCTTATGGGTGCACGTTTGGCACGACGTGTATGCGGTACTCCAGTGGTCAGTGAGTCACTTGAGAAAGCGTTATTGCGACGTGCTCAGGCTGGTGCGGGCGAGGCTCTGAAACTCGCTGCACTTCCGCCCTCATTACGACCGTCCCCTTCGTTCAATCAGAGGAGAATACGCCAGGAGGGTTCTGTCTCGCCTCCTATGCAGGGACAAGCACAGACACAAGGAAACGAGAGTTACAACACACCGGCACTTGACGTTGTACAATCTCATGTTCTTCTCTCACGGTACTTCTTTGCAGAGGGACGTGCATCCGAGGCCCGAGTACATGCCTCCAGTGCGGCAGACCTCGCCTTGCAGCTTGGATTGCACCAATTATGCGCACTCAATCCTGAGGCTAACTTTGAAAGGGGTACAATGAATGATTCTGTCAAGGGAACATTACAGCTTACTCCGCCAATCGATTCCATCGCACTTGGTGAACGCATTGACCTGTTCTGGGCAGTTTTCGTGCTTGACAGGACCTTAGCTACCGCTCTCAACCTACCGCCGTGTATTGCAGACGACGAATGCGTCGAGACGCGTGTGGACACTCCTTGGCCCGAAGAAATGGATGAGTATGAGCATGTGCGTAAATCGTTCGTCCAGTTTGACAGTTTAATATTGACTAAGAAATGCTTGTTACAGGTTCCGATGGAGAGCATTCGCGGTTGTGCGACCTTGCGATCCTTCTTTGTTCATCAAGGCCTGCAGGTCGCTGGCGCTTCCTCGGGAGGCTTCGCTTTCCCCGCTCTTCTGGCCAAGGCTGCGGCATTGCTTGTCGCTTGTGCACGGACTTCGGCAAACTGGGGTCTGCACTCTCCTGCGTCACCCCCACCTGCGCTCTTCATGAGTTCTTCTGCATCACCGTCCCCACCTCCAGGACAGGGCGGAGAGGATCCCGCCGTGGTCATCACGCGGCTTGAAGCATGCCTTGCTCGATTTGCCTCTGCACTTCTCCCCTCGCACCAGCTTGGCGCGGGCTTGCCTGAAGGCGAAAGGAGGAAGCAGGTGACTCTGCACACGCTTGTGCACGCAAGCGTTGTCAAGCTTCATATACGTCTCGCGCGTGCAGGTGTAGCTGTGAGTCTTGAGAAGTGCGTGAAGGCAGCTCGGGCGTGCGCCGCGCTCGTTAGAACACATCTCGGCGAGAAGGATTACCAGGTTCTGGATCCTTTACTTGGGGTACGTGTGGTTCTTCGTATATTAATTGCTTCTTTTCCGCTTATTTCATCTGCTCACGTCCGATTTTAATTACTGTGACATTTAGAGCTGCTGGAGTACACTTACAGAGGTCTTCGGTTTAGAGGCAGTGCAAGCAAGCGCAGCAACGCCTGGGAACTCTGCATCTGCTTGGGTTCCGCATGATCATGGTGCACTCGCGTCTGCTGGTGCTCAGCTACGGTGTGCAGCTAGCAACAGTCAAGGGTTCGGGAGTGTGGAGTCGAACCCCGGTTCGGGTACGTAGATATTTGTCATCTTACACTACCGTATCATCTCTCTTTTTCTGCTTTATTCTACGCCTGTTTGAAATATAGTCTAATCGTCTTTGTGTTTTTCTTTCTTTCTTTGGGTTTCGTACGTTTTACCTTACCGGAATGAAATCGGAATGGATTACGACTGTCATGGTATTCCGCATGTGGCTCGATCGGACATACGCGACACATGTCAAACGCACCAATGTCTGCATTGACTATCCAAATCGATATCTGCGAACTCTAATCTGCGCCTCGGATCGGGACGTGCAGCGTATCAGCGCCCGCTCGTTTCCTAGTAGCGGAGTTCCGTACCGCGCCCCTCGCAAACTGCCCCGACCGGGTCGCTTGGGGGCTTGGTTGTCTCGCCTTCTGGCTCGTTGCGATTGGCGATGCAACTTCTTTCGTTTCGTTTCTTCTCTTTCCTGACATGACTCAACCGTTTTAGCCCGATGAATTTGTCGACCACACTCTTCGCCAGTTCTTTCTTCGTTCAGCCACCGCCACCCTTGTTTTACCGGGTCTTCCTGGTGCTTACCTACCTTTCACCGAAGTAGAGGGACCATACTGCCAAGAGCAAACTCCAGGCTTTTCGCACTTCGACTTCGCTTCTTCTGTGCCTTGATGGATCAGGATTGAGGACGGCCGGCAGGTAATGGGGGACGTTACGCGCCGGTTTAAATCCTTCATGACGGACGATACATCGCACATCATTTCTTTCCCCAGGTAGCTGGGCTGATACTTTTTCCACTCTCCTCTCACGACGGGATTACAATTTTCATTCTCGACTTCGCGACGTACACTGCACGACTTTTCACTCATTTCAAGCAACTACATCGCAACACAGGCTTTCTGGATTTCAACTCGAAGCAAGCAAGGACTTATTTAATGGACGCTGTTCTTACTAGACTATATAACATGGTCATACGCAAGGACGCTTTTGGACACTCTTTGGGATAGGATAATTAATTAATGGACTTTCGGATGGACTTGTTTTTATAACTAGTTTTGGTATGTGTATGATTTGGGTTTTGGATATTTGGGATGGGAAAATAGCTTTATGCCCTTTTGACATTGCACATGGACACTGCACTTTGGACGCTCAATGGACATCTGCCTTCCTTCTTCCCCTTTGTTCTTCCCCTGTCATTCATCATATCCATCCGCCTCCTACCACACCTCCTTTCGACCAAGAGTTTAGTGCGCGAATGCGGATATGACCAGCTCTGGATTTGTTATGTATCTTTATTGACTTTCGCTTTCGGCGTTCATATTCTCTCTCTACATCGATGTTCCTTTGCTATCGTCCGTTCTTTTTCTCTTTTTATAGTCCATCGTCGTGTAGCACGTTTCGTCTCCCGTTTTCTTTCCAGCTCTAGTGCTCTAGCTCATAGCCTCCTTGCACTCACGTACGCACTGTGTATAATCCCCCACTTATAACTCGTGTTGACCGCCTCGTAACACACACACACTTTATTACTTTAATTCACCTTTCATTAGGTTGACCCTTCCCTTCTTTGACTTCGACTTTGATTTTATTTTTTCTTCCTTTCCCTCGGCACAGACCGCAAAGGACAATGTTGTATCTTTAGCTAGCTGGCCCATGGACTCACTCCGTCGAGCATTCAGACTTTCTTTCCTCTTCGTTCTCCCCACGCACGGACGTTGAATATTTTGATTTGGTCAAGGTTACCGTACATTCGTTTTCCATTTCTCTTGATTCGTTATTTTATTCGCACTCTCCCACTAGTTGGTAGCGAGGTTTATTAAAGTTGATTATATTTGTGTAGTAACAAGGCACGTACATACTGTGGAGAGCTGTGAGTGTTTGCTGTCTTGGAGACGAGGCTGAGAGTCTTTGGGGATGGATTATACATCAATCCCTTTGTCTACATATTTGTACTCTCCCACTTCTTAGCGAGCTGTATCGAATACATTTAGTGGTTACAATGCATGTAAGCGATTTCGTGACTCAGAGACTCAAGCAAGATTTTCTAGGGACGAATTATACATCAATGATCATATTCCATTTATTATTATCTCACAATTCAGTCGAAAGTCCTTAGATATAGCGAGATAGGCAACTACGAGGCATGTGCGCCGCACGTGGAAAGGGTTTTCCGCTAGTAGGAACACAAAACGCGGAAAGAGACAGGCACCGATCAAATGTAGCGGAAGGTATTCAAGCGGAGAAGCCGAGAAGTCGAGGCACGACACGATGCGCGACGGGGTGACGGGTAGCGAAGGGCTGTGCTATGGTATTATTACCTAGTGCTGCGCCGTTTTGCTTCTTTGTCTTCATTAGGAATACGGACTTCGCCTCGGTCCTTTTTTTATCGACTGATGCGCTCATTCGGCTTAGATGATGAGTGATTACTTGAGCGAATAAAGTGAAGTTTTCTTCTTGCTGCTGCGAAGAGATGAAATGAAAGAGATCCAGGAATAGGACCGGTAGTACACGGCATCCGAGGATTAGAAGAACTTGAACGTGGATCAGGATGGTTGTGCGGGTTTTGAGAGCGAAGCAAGTTATTCACAGACCAGACCATCGTCATTAACTTTGCGCATATATCCGCTCGTAGATAAGTAAGGTAGGTATCAAACCGCATCCAATAAGGCGGTGAAATGTATGACGTTTCTCAGGATAACTGCGATCCTGATTCTTGGATTCTTGATGTGAAGAACGCATGGGTCAACGTGGACAATTTGAACATTTATTGAAGATTGCAGTCGGCTCCGAAGGTATCATGTACACTGCATTGAAATGAGCGGTGATATCACTTTGACTTTGAGTAAATTGAGGCAATGCTTGCAAGGTTCAAGACATAGGTTCCCTTCATTGTATGCTGTGTATTCGTATACGTAGATCCAAAGAAGCTCCGGCTTGACACTAGTGCCTGTCATTTGAGTAAGTAGATCATTGGCAGGGGAAGGACGGACATGGGAGAGTTTGATACTTGTGCCGCTACTTTCTGTTATGTCTGTATTGTAGAAGTGTTACTCGCTGGGTGAACCTTTAGGCGCCCTTTCACGAATGTGTTGACTCCTTGCTGCTCTCGTACAGGACGAGTGTGCCGCTCGTTTATGCATGCGACAGGAGCACTGGCGATGGAAGGACGAGAAGAGCGGAGTTTGCAGACAAATGTGATCACGTGAAAATCCTTCACGGTGAGGTTAAGTTTGCTCTTCTCTGCAAGTTACTCCCTCACCCATTCGCTTAGTTTGTTGATTCTAGTGGTTTGGATGAACCGAGATGTAGCAAAGTAGCGGCGTGCGCGTGCCACATAAAAGTCGGGAATATGCGGCGGCAGAACTTTGTCAGATGACGGTAGAGAAAAGAGACCTGTCAAGCGCTTCAGTCTCCACGCCGAATGATTCGACCAATGAGATCAGCTTGGATGTCGATTTCAATGGGGAGAGAGCCGGTTGGGACACAATCTCCTCGAACGACATAAACCCAACGGGAGAGCATGTTCTCGGGTTGACCGCTAGTGAACAAGACTTCGTGGTTCCAGATCAGGACCCTCTTTTATCTAGACAGAGTCAGAAACCGGAACAGGTGCAGAAAGAGAAGAGTCCTGTAACTCGTTCTCCTATCCCAGATGCAGCCGAAATGGAAGAGACTGTGAGGGGTGGGTTAGACGACTGTATGTTCTATTTCGTCATGTTGGTTTTCTCAAGTATGTCATCTGATAACAATGGTCCATTGCCTTAGACCTGCAAATGTTCTTCGGAACCAAGGAACTGGTAGAAAAGGACGGTACTGTTCAACCTAAAGCCGGTAAGTGCCCTCCGTATCTGCGATTTCTGCATGCATACTAATTGATCATTATATCTTATCCTTGTTGCAAGGCCATTGGGAACGATGCAAATTCGGAGAATCGTGCACCGCAATGGAGTCCGTTCCACTCCCCAAGGGAACCTCCACAGACAGGAAGGAGGCTGAGCTCGATCTCTTTTATTCAATCCTTTATTCACTCCTTACGCATATCACGTCAGTGCACTCTGATGATGCGCGGCGTCCGTTGCGGTTGATACGGTTCAAGATGAGTACTCTTTGTGTTCAGCGGAATGAGAGAATAATGTTCCTTAAGAGGTCACAGACGAGTGAGTCTGTCGACAAACATAAAGCTGCGCACTGATAGTATTCGTGTATCTCGCTTACGCTCGTTGTGTGTGTAATGACGTGTAACAAATGTCACTCCTTTAATCGCTCATTATTACAATAAATATAAGTCGTAGAGTGTGATGCGTGTCGGGTAAGAAATACTTGTCTCTGGTTCAGTGTACTTCGAACGTGGTGGACAAGGCGATATTACACAGTCATACTGTATGCATGTATGTTGTAGTATAGCTCCTTCATTGTGTTTAATGCTACAAATTGCTAGATGCTTACTTACTAATGTGTCTATGTATATTAGTAAACCACTATAATGTTTCTCCTAAGCTTGTTACACTGTATGTCAATCAATATTAAGCTAGAAGTGAAATTTACATTCTCTCTCTTTTTTTAAAACTTTTTCCATCTTTTTTTACTGTCTTTTTTGTTTAAAATACACTAGTTATAACAGATTTGCTTGATCCACTGACAAACCTAACTGATTAACTCATCCTCTTTATCTCTAAACATTAATAATAAAAGTACACAAGTACTATATTTGTACTTTAACTGGATCATTTACTTATAACTTGCTTTTAGTATATACTCTTGTGATTCATTTTATACAGCTCCTAACATATATTACAGTAAACAACTAAAAGTGTATCTTATGACTATTAAAAATGCCTGAGTCATTATTTGTCAAGATCTTTATTATCTGTACTTTTAACTTTAACTTTTGTAAAGGAACATTCCTTATATTGTATTTAGTCTATTCCTATTTGATTTTCTCTCAGAATATAATGTATGAGTTCTTTCAGGCAGAGAATAATAGTATTAAATACTAAGTACAACTGTTCCTGCTCTTCCTTTCTCTTTTAGTCCTCTTTTACCTATAGCCCCTTCTTCTCCTCTTGTATCTTGCCTTTTTTTTGCTCTAATATTCTCTTTATCTCTTTTTGTTCTGTACTCGGATTTCTATGACACTTCCTATAATGTTCAAGCAAGTGGTCTATTATAGTTGTGAATAATTCTAGCCTCCTCTCCTGTTCATTGGCTGAAAAGCCTGGATATCTATGCATGTTAGCAGCATCATAACATCTGTCCCCATTTGCAAATATACAAAAGCCATCTATTCTATAGCCTATAGAAAATGATTCTCCATAGTCATCACTTTCCAGTCACTGGCTGTCAGCATAGTAGAAGTTCACTCACGCTGTGCAGGCTGCAAGCCAGTGGCACCAACCCTCATTGTACCACTGTGTCCGGTTAACAGTTGAAGGTCTGTATCAAAGAGAGTATTAACACATTATTGTATCTCTACAATATATCTGCAGACTCACAGTCCTCCAGAGTACCATTACTTAATGTCTCTGTCAGCTCTGGACTAGATAGTTCAGACATTATATCGATTTTTGCTGCACAGTTATGCCAGCTTTGTGAGAGAGTAGCATGCAATATATATATACAAAACCACTCTGCTTTGCTCGATTGATTACTAAATCTGGTTAGAAGTACTAAGACACGGATCATCAAAGGTCAGTTTCTAAGGAAACTGACTTTGTATCAATCTATTGGCATTGTCACACCTTACGTCTAGTCGTGCCACCAGGTAGAAAACCAGGAGCGTTTAGGAGGAGTTGCAAATACTTGAAAGAGGCTCTATATATACATCATGAACCAATAGATAATGTGATATGTACAATATATGATTAATGGAGCGGGAGTATATGCAAGGTGTTGGCCTCTGGAAGCGCGGCAGGTAGATTAAATATATCAGCTTGCTTTGCAGATGTGACTGGGACACCTCTTACGAGCACTTCTTTGCCTATTTGATGTGAATGAAGGCAAAGTTTGAGTTGATTCTCATAAAGTGACAGTATGTTGATAATCCATAAGGCGCTATAATTTAATCTAACAGCAATGGCAAAAAGTGACGCTGAAGGATGGGAGGAAACACAAAAGGCTCCAGAGCATGCTACAGTAGAACGTGCCTTGTCCGAGTCATCCAAGGACCCAAAGCATGCTGAAAGCAAGAACGCCACAACGTCCACCTCGAGAACTACAAAGACCCCAAAAACAGTTGCGTTCGCTTCTACCCTAATAACTCCAAATGTGGCTGCAAGTAAAGATCTTTATGGAAGGATCAAAGAGAAGCTTTTAGACGGGAATTTTGCAGACCGTATGCCCCTAGTGCTTCTCTCGTTATGATGTGACTCACAAGGCATTATGCTTTCTAATCCAATAGACATGGAGCTGTTCTTTGGATGCAGGAGGGGTGTATTTGTGGACAGTCACGGTATAGATCGCTTTCGACCCGACGCAGGTGAGCTATTGACTAGATCCACTTTGCGTTCTGTAGTCTGTTCTGAAGTGCATCTTAGACAAATGGGCGAGATGCATATTTGATGAGAACTGCACTAGAATGTCGGAAGCTAAGATTCCGACTGTAGTGCCATCATATTGGAGTTGGGCAAAAACGTTGCTAGATTACGCAACACTCAAAGCCGTAGATGAGCATTTCAAGTCGTATCATAACGTCAAGCCGAGTACACGCCAGTTAGGGTCGCTCAGTGATCTGCACATAAGGAAGTTTGATGTACAAGTGGCCCCAGCTGAAGAGGACGACATTGACAAATGGATTGAGAATAAACTGGAAGGATTTCCCAAAGACCGTAAGACATCGGAGCCTTTTAAAAAAAGACAGCCCATAACGTGTTATGCTCTTCGATCTTGTAGGTTTAGCGGTCTTCTTTGGGTGTAGGGAAACTCAATACAAGAGGGGTATCCGTCGGCCTGAAGCAGGTGAGTCAAGTATTTTCAAGTCCCAGGTTCGTCAGTCTCCCACACACTGAGGCGCATCCTAGACCGGTGGGCGCGATGCATATTTGATGTGAACTGTACTTTAATGTCGAGAGTTAAAGTTCCTATAGGAAGGTCAACAGATGCAACCATGGCAAACATACGGCTAGACTATGAGATTCTCAAAGCAGTCGAGGCGCATTTCAAGAAGCATCACAACTTAAAGGGAGTCAGCGAACGGCAGATGAAATTGATGGATATAGTACACTCCAAAATATACTATAGCATATTGGCACAAAGTGATAGGGCGGAGCAGCTTAAGAGATTTCGTGAGGAAGAGCGACGAAGGGCGGTGAGACAGGCACAGTTACGGATTAAACATACATTCCGTGAAATTGATGCAGCACGAGGTATACGCTGAACCTTGGTTTATTGTGTAATTATACTGTATGTAATAACCAGTGTTCACGTGACTGTGAGTATATACTTCTAAATAAAGCAGCTCGGGACACGGTGGTTGCTTCGGCTTTGGTGCGCGTTGCCGACGCGTTTCGCGCTCATTCCACCACTTGGTCTCCCTCCTCACATCCGACTTGTCCCATGGCAAAGTTCAAAAGGTCATCGGTAGAAAATAACCGGAAGTTAACAGATTACTTCTCTCAGCTGCCTCCTTCGTCTTCCCAAACGTCACAGGCATCGCCTCCACCATCCTGCCCAGCGTCTAGCAGCGCGCCTTACTACAGTGCTAAAGCATCAATGGGCACGAAGAAGACAATTCTAAAAGAGACGAAAGCCTTATCACGATCTCCGTCATCGTCCCAATCGGGTCTTATGTCTCAATCTTCTTTGCAATCTCGTATCGAACGAAAAGAGAATGCGCCTCCTCCCCGCTTGATGCGTACCCGCACTTGCTCCGAACGCGAAATAATCAGCATTGCATCTTCGTCAGAAGCCCCGACGCATATTACAATCTCAAGTAACTCTGTCACATCCTTTGATAGCAGCGTTATTGAGGTTGTTCCTCCTGTAAAGCAAGACCGTGGCCATCTGCAAGCTATCGACGTTACGTCGTCTCCCCTTTCAGCTCCAGTACAGACTCGACGCAGTCCCAGGCTAAAAGGCCCAAAGTCGCCTCCCAGAAGTAGAATCCAACAGGTTGGTGCTGTCGTTGCTCAGAAACGTTCGCCGAAAAAGAGGAAGAAGCCGGAGGGTGTGCAATCAGATGACGGAGACCTAATCGAACTGGATGCTATGGAGGACGTCATCTATGTGGATTCATCGCCTTCTAAGCTGAAGAGCACTGCCAATGTCAAAGTCAGTGCTTTGCTATTTATCACGGAATTGAATATACTTACTTTTCAGTAGCTTGTACCTCCTTCCCGAGCAGGGCCACCAGCCACATCGTCTTCTCGGAAACGAAGCCGATTGAATGAACCAATACCCATAGATTCATCTTCCGATGTCGAAGAAGTTATACCGTCGTCGCAGTCTGACGAGCGGGAGCTTTGTATCCCAAAACGGCAGCGGAAGAACATTAAAGAGGTCATGGAGGGGATTAGAGAATGGCAGCTGAGCTCCTCACAGCCAGCTGCACCTCCCGAGTCCAGCGATGCTTTTGCAGCCAATGTCAAGGATTGGAGCATGGAGCTAGACTTAGAATACCCATACAGCTCTGCCAGCTTGTCTGGTGCGCGGAGTGGAAGGGTGACTCCTGTTGCCGCGGACAAATCAATGCATACATCGCCACGCACAACACCACAGACTTGTTATAAGCCACGGACACCTTCAAAGATACCGGAAATGCTTTGTGCCTTTAAGCTACCAGAATCTGTTCTTGTTGCAGGTGGATCCAAACCATCGTCACCAGTTTTTGTATCTTCTGCCTCGTCTCTTACAAAGGTTGACACGCCGACACAGATGTCATTGATCAAGCGACTGGTCTCTCCGGTTCGAACACCGGATAGGCGACATTCCCTCGATGAGACTGGATCGCCAGGTCTGCGTAATCCTCACGTAGCTTCCGACAGAACAGAGGTAGAGATCGAACAAGTGGATGTATCGCTGGATTGTGGTGAAAAGACCAACGCGATCGTTGAGCGAATCAAAGCCGAAGCACGTGCAAAAGCAATGACGATGCCCGATGAGGACTCTATGGTCCTTGGTTCGTTGGATGATAGTGATAGCGATCTGGAGAGTCCATCAGATTTGTTCAAACAAGTGGCGAAGGGCAAAGAGTAAGTTTAATGTGCCCCCGTTCCTCGACGTGCTCATTGATGGGTAGTTTGTCTAGGCCGTCCAAATCATCCAGGAAGCGACATTCGCCCTCATTGGATGAAGGTGCTTCGGACGATGGTACAGAGTCTTCGGATATTGCTGAATCGGGAAACCGGTCGACTCGTAGGCGAAGTGCTCGTCTCGCTCGGGACTCACACTCGCCCTCGCCACCACGAACTACAAGAAGGACCCGCAATGTCCCAAGTATGCGTCCGACTGTAATCTTTGAGACAACTCGCGAGTCCTCGAAGAAGACAGTTAATCCCTTCTCAAAGCTTTTAAAAGATAAAGCTCGGCAGGACAGGTTTGCAGATATTCACCAAAACCCGGGCATAGGCGCGGATATCGATTTCTTGGACGCTGCGGATGAAGAATTCGCAGGGTGTCGTTCCTTATCTGGTTCGCCGCTCCGTAGGCAAAGTAGCGACGAAGCTGTTATGAATGAAGCGGATCGAGCAAGATTGTTCGGTGAAGGGGATGATGTTGCTTTGGGTAAGATCCTTGAAACCGATCGTTTGGAAAGAGGCAAAGACAAGGTAGTGGTCGATATTACTGGAGTTCCATTCTGGGAGAACCCTTCAGAAGATGGGATGGACATTGATCCTGAAACTGAAGGCCTACCGCAACTCGTGACTTCTGGAACGGATGCAATGCTCGTATTGTTAAAAGACCTCATAGATTCGAGAGGTAAGTATTATCGCTTCAGGGATAGTACACGATGTTGACTGTTTACCAGATGTGGACGGGATAGCCATGCTTTTGCAATCAGGTTCACTTGTCACTGAGGACGAAGCATTTGTGACTTGGGCTTTCGAGCTTGCTATCTGTGCAGCTGGTACCCTGGCGATTGCAGCACACACGCTTCTGTGTCGGATATGTGATGCTTCATCAGAGGGCTTACAGTCCACTGTCGTTTCAGTCACTCCTGCTTTGAAAATGCTTTCTAGGCTTGGTGCAAAACAGAGTATAGTGGAAGCCATACAGCTGGAGACGTCCTTCCTTCCTTCCCCGTCGCTCACTGCTGATCACCGGCGCGACACTTTGTGGAGATTTTCTGATCTTGTTGAGAGGTTTGCATCAAAAGCAATGTTTGTCAGTGAAGATGTGCCATCCTACTTTGCTCTACTTCTCGCTGTTGGCTTGGATCCTTCGACAGGCCTCAGGTTGAAGCTGTGCATCAAGCGTGCTCTTTGTGCTTTAATTAGGCAGTTCTGCGAAGTTTCTGATGAAAGAGGAGAAATGGTGAGGTAGTATTTCTTTTCGTTGATGGCAGTAGCTGATGTCCTCTCTAGGAGAGGGAGATCTGCTCTAGAACACTGTGCCTTTGTTCTCAGCTGAGCTCAGCAAATAAGGCGTATCTGTTGTCGTTCATCGAGGGCGACAGGTTAGTCGACAGACGCATTGGTCAATGGGTAGCCTTTGCCATGTTAACTGGTGAACATGGCTCTCGATTGGTAAGCCGCTCTCGCCGTCATTTCATGATGTCGTGCAAAATTCTGAAACATGTGTTTCTAGGCCAGGGAGTTCGTACTCGGTCCACCTCCGCTTTCCGACATTGTTGCGCTCCTTGATCCTCGTTCAGATTCCGAGCTACATACGGACCTCTTTGCCATCTCCCGCAACGCCGAGGAAACCGACTGTTTCGATTACGCTGCTTTGGGGTACCATGTTGAAGTCTTGGGTCGGGTCTTGATGAATATACCGCAGTATGTTCTTCTAGAGAAGGTTGAAGCTAGGGAAGCGCTACGACAGTCAAGTTCGTCTGATCTGAGCGCTAGCAAGAGTTTCCCTAGGCATCGGAACGAGAAGTCGAAGCTGGAGATCATCAAGTGCCTACTTGACCGCCTTGGCAATAACATTGGTACGTATACTGTTCCTCCGGTCTCTCGATTTGCTTGTACGTCGATTAAATAATTAATCCTGTTCTTTCTTCACAGCCGATACGCGCGCTGCACACCTGGATCGGTCGCACACAAAAGCAGTTATTCAACAACTGGCAATGCGCATCCACTATCAACGCGAGGGCTCGCGCGAAAGAAAATCGAACATCGATAAATACTTCAGCGTTAAATCGACGTAGACAGACATACATTGTGGATACTTTGCGCATCGTTTTCAGGCATGTTTTTTTTTCCATTTAATATGTGCAGAATAGAGACTGGCCGACGCAGGAGTATATCGTACATTCTGTATTAGTCTGTATGATCGTTTCTTTGCTTTAATTCGAGTTTCGCGCTTCGTTCTTGTAGTTTTGGCTTTGAACAATAATCTTATTTCAGTTTGGAACTTTCGTTATGGCATGTCTTATACACAACGGTTCATATCTTGGAGCGATTCACTCTTTCTATTTACTCTTGCACTTTTCTTGTAGCTTTATACTGTCGAGTGTCGAAATGCTTGTTCGGAATTCATAGCATTTGTAATTAGTTTGTAATTGAACTTCACTCAAATATGCCAAGAGCAGATGTCCATTCCATTATTATACCATTCATAACAAAGAGTAACAGAGAAGAAAATGCAAGTCACGTTTTGTACACATGCATATTGGATGATTGAAGAAAAAGAGATGGTGGGAAACTCTAGCATTCAATGCGAAAAGAAAAGGTAATAAACAAATCGAGAATAAGAATGAGAATGACGGAGATGATGCAGAGGATGGGGTGAAATCTAGCACGTTATGCAGGATTAGACTTAGCTAATGCATGGTATGCTGAGATAATGAATCGCGAGGAAGAACCAGACTGCTGAATAAGAAAGGAGGAAAGGAGAGTGAACTGCGGTTGAAAATCATGATTAAACAGCACTATGAATAACGTGAATGTAATGCGAAAGGGGAAAAAGTGTGAATGATGCTGCCGATGCTGATGCCAATGCCAATGCACGATGAAAGAAATGACTTGAATGATGCAACAAAACTAGAAGGAAAATGCCTTTAAAATGGGTGTAGAGGTCGTCATGAAGAAAACCAGGAGGAGCCAGCGCAAGCCAAGACAGTAAATATCGATATCAATTTCACTGAAATGATTGGCCACCTGCGTTCTAATTCTCGTTCGCCTCTAACATACGCGGTAACGCCGCACTAGGCGTCCACCCCTCTATCCTACTTCGCGATCGTTCTCTCTCGTGTCCATGCTGGGAATTCGAATGCGATGTAGAAGGCGTCGAAGGTTCCGAAGATCCAGAAACAGTAGTTTCGTAATCTAATCTCTCAAGACCTAACCCTTCATACGCGGGTCTTCTCGGTAACTCCGTCCCTAACGTCGATTCCGTACCTGTCGAAGAAGCAGAAGGAGGGATAGAAGGAGGGATAGAAGTAGTGAACGACTCGAACGTTGTCCCTGTACTCGGCATTTGACTGCTTGCGTACGAAACTCTGTAGTCTGAGTTTCGATGATGGAACATCTTCGAGTTGTGGGAGGTATGAGAATGTGAAGAGGCTGTGGTAGGCGTAATAGCGGGGTACGGTGCGTTCAATTCTGAATCAAGTGGGAGGTGTTGGTGTGGAGTCGGGTTCCGTGGACGTTCAAAACCAATATCAGAAGCGAAGTTCGCTAACGAACCACCCGAACCTGCTCCACCGCGTAGCCTCGCCGCGAAGTCCTCGTCGCTCCGCTTCTCGACGTCGCCCAATACCGATCCCTTCGCACTTCCACTTCCATCTCGACTCCCTCCGGAAGCAGAGGGTGAGATCCTTCCCCACATCGTCGACCCGAGCCTCGTACCCATCCGCCTTCCTATATGTTCCTTCCATAACCAAGTTGCGCAAATTGCAAAATTCACGAGGACGTTGAAGAACATTAAAATCACGCACAAGCTCGCAACGACAGCTGCGGCTATGCCCACTGCCACTCGCGGGATCGCGTCTATCCCAAAGCTCTCCACAAATACGAATAACAAAGCCGTAATCAGAATACGACCTATGGAGAGGGTGATGGAGAGTACGTCCGCACCGCGCGTGAAGTGCGATCGGAAGACCAGTAAGAAGATAAGGAAGAAAACCTCGGTAATAAGGATAAAAATAAGCTGGACTATGCCCGAAGCGTACCCGAACGCTATCACAATTGCTCGGACAGCAAGGATGGCGATGGGGAGTGTGAAGAACCACCACCGCGGAGGACGGTAGTATTCGTAAAGTGGGCCGTAGGAGGCGCGGCGATGGTATTGTTCGCCGTATAATGCCTCGGGGTGTGAACGTCTTGCGAACCGGATCGTGAGGAAGGATGGATAGATGATGCAAGCGAGGATGAAGAGGAGCGTTAGGACGGAGAAGAGTGTTGCGAGCCAGGAGTCTTTGAGTGTCCATTGGTGAAGAGCGAAGATCGTAATGGGGAGGAAGACGATAAGGGTCAGTCTCAAAGTCCAACTCTTCGCAAACCCAACATAACCATCTCTCCACTCCCCAACCCTACCCAGTTCCACGCCCTTCCTTTCCCTCTTCCTCACAACAAGAAATACGATAAGCCATCCAAGTCCAAGAGCAACCAGAGCAATCGCGATGAGCATGAGCAGCGTCAAAAACACGGTCATGAATGCATTCGGCGTGCTAATACCCAACGAATTAACATACACCGGGATACCCGCATTCAGGACGTTCGAATTCGTAACAGTAACCGTCGTATCCCTCTTCGCAAGACTCGCCATCGACGACACTACTGACGTGTTGTTGGTCGTATGTAGCTGGTTCAAAGCAATCTTACTCTTCAGATTGCTTATTGCCAATATCGTATCGGGGCTAGAGGCAATTGCGACGTTGTACGGACTGAGCTTGCGATTGACGAGATCCACGCCATCTCCTGTCGCGTCGGTCATATCTCCGCCCGTATGATGACGCATATTATCAATCGCACGTTGGATGGGACTTGCGTCGTTAGTCGAACCAAAGAGACCCAAGGCCCAGCTAAAGTTGGTAGCAAATGCACGATAGACGACCGGATAATTGAGATCGAGAAGTGCACTCGAAGCGATACTTTGGAAGAGGAACAGGAGGTCGATAAGGCGTTGTGGAGCGAGTGAAAATGTGGATGGCGAGAGTAGCGTAGTGGCTAGGATTGCGGATAAAAGCGCAATAAGCGCAGTCCCACCCGTAACCCATTCTACAGCAAGTTGTCGCATCGACCACCCATTTGAAAGTGTGGACTGTACACAAGCCTTCAGTTCATGTGTATCTGCCGTCATTAACGTCAACTGAGCAAAGGCCTCGAGGTCCGGAATCTTATACGCAATGCCCGGTATATGGCTGTTCAAATCTAAATTCAAACTCGAAAGCGGGATCGTCTCGCTTCCGATGAAATTATACGTGGGTAAAGGACAAAGAGCGCCATTTAGGATAGAACAGAGATCTATGGTGACATTAATCGAGTGTGAGCCGTAAACGTTGAGAGCGAGGTTTGCAGTGACGTTGATGTTGTTCTCTACGGAGGCGGCGGAAATGTTGAAGAAAACAGATTGGTTGGCGGCGAAATACATGATGTCAAATTGCTGCACCAGAATAAGCTCTGGTGGAGCACAGTACGACACCGAAGATGTGACTATAGAAGGAAATGAAATTAAATTAGTATAACTGATTCCGCGGAACATTGACGGATATAGATAATGTCGAGACGATGCAGATCCTATTTAATCCGTATAAAGCCCATGGGTCACCATTTAAAATAAGAATAGAAACCATAATAGGCGCCGAAAGAGGTTCCCGCGAGACGCGGGCGATCGAAACGGGGTTTGAAGGTGGATGAAGAAAGTACAACAGAACATATAGCACAGCATCCGTGGGTGTGCAGAGAACTGCGGTGAGCTGGCGCCGATAAGGAAACTCCAATAGACATGCTCAAAGCTCCACCGAAATTCGTCAAACTCCAACTAATGCCCAGTGACCAGCCAGAAATGTACAGACGCGTCGCAAGGGCAATATGTGATGCAATGTATGAAACCACAATTTCTCGTGCGGTGTCTCGGCCCAACCACGTTCAAGTGGACGAAACACAAATAAATAAAATAAATTTAAAGAAAAACTCACATAGAACTTCATCGCGTGCACTGGTGAGTTGAGGTAGCGCAAAGCATGCAAATGCTGCAGCAGCGGCGTAGCGTCGCAACCGGGCGACGGAGAAAAGCATCGCAAGTAAATCAAGAGATTCGGACTAAGCCTGTAAGGAGAGTACGACGGAAGCAAGCAAAAAGGAATGAGAAACGGTGATAGAAAGAGAAATGGAGAAACGGAAGAAGATTGAAAGAAGGAGAAAGGGGAGAAAGGGAGAACGATGGCAGAAGATTGAGGGGAAGAGTAAGAGGAGGGTGAAGGAGGTGAGAGTGCTTTGAGTATTGTCGTTGAGGACAATTGTGTGGCCCGTAGGAGCAGCAGCCGCGGTGGACAACGGACCGAGACAATAAAGACGCGTCGATCTCCAGCCGAATTAGGGAATCAGTGTATTTTCTCCCTTGTTTTGCTTTAATCGAGTAATATCTTGAGCGCTGCGCTCGCAACGAGAAGGTCGTGGAGAGAGATGGGAGGAGCAGACGGGGTGAGAAAGACATGAGCTGTCGAGAGTTTTGTAAGAGCGCAGCATTGGCGGGAGCGTGAGGTCAGCGTGGGCGACCACCGTCATCAGTCCTGCGTCAAGGGGCACACTTCACTCTCCGCGTTTCTCACGCCATCTCTCACTGACAAAGTATGCACTGTGCTTGGCGCTAGTGACGGTAAGGCACTCATCCAATTTCATATCATATCAAAACAAATCGCTGCTGGTAGTCATCTCCTTGCAACTGTTCTCCTTGTTTTTCTGTCCAATTTCCGTCAACCTTTTCCTTTCGTTTTTTCTTCTTTTACAAAGTGTACAACGATAAACCGGGCTGTCTCGGATGATGACTCACTCCGCTTGCCTCACTCTCCGATCTCAAATGTCCAGACACGCAACACGTTGCATCCTTCATCCCGCACTCGGCTGGTCTCGTCCATGCACTGCCTACATCGATATTAACAGAGGTATTAATAAATACTAATAATAACTGTGTCCCATATCCACGTTCATTCCTCGTGGGTTGACCCTCGTCTGGTTTTCCATTCACGCTTCTGCAATGAGACAAGCATACAGCTCGTGTCGTACCGATCAAATCTAGTATGCATCAAACAGGCGTGCCCCTAGTTCTATTTTACTATGTTTATGCGCCCTCAGTAGCCCATCTCAATTCTGTTGTGAGAGAAGTTGTGAGGAAGCTTGGCTTTGTAGAGGACCCTGGTAAGGTTGATGCTGAGTTTCCTTACAACTAGGAAGAATTGAGATGATTGACTTGTGAATTTTGTGTCAATCAGATTTCTTGTGATTTGAGTGGACAAACAAGTAAGAGATACAAGAAACATTATTTAATTTCAAAGTCCAACAACTCACAAGCACTCTAAAGTGCTTGCAAGTTGTTGTGTGTTTGACTACTACTTTAGGCAAGCACACAACCTGATCCCCATCTTAACCACCTGATTTTCATCTCAGCATTTTTGGCATATTTCTTACATACTGTGCACAACTCACAACTTGCAAGAGAACTCTTCCTGTGACCTCCATGTCTGTGGGTTTTCTCATGCTTGGAGTGAGGAGGGTTTTCACCTGCAATGTGTTGGTCAACACAGTCCTAGCAATGCCTAGTCATAGGCAGCACACCCACAGGCTGTACTGACTTTTAGTACTAGTCTACCCCTTTGACAGACACCTGATTGACTTCAATCATGGCCAATGTCTCTTAATGTCTGACATGCACCCTTCTTTTTTCTCTTCAAGGGTTTGTATACTCTTTGTGTTTCAGCCTTTCTCTAGGAAGGAGGATTGTCTTGTGTTCAGCTAGGTGCTTATAGACTAGAGGCTTTGAGATGTACCCTCAGGTTAGGCTGGGAGTTACAGGGTAAGAAAGCAGGGCTTGATCCTGTACCAGTGTGACTGTACCCCTTTCCTGGGCTGGGTTCTCTTAGATCTTGATGTGATACAAGTTACCTCTCTTACACATTTCCCTCTATACCCCTGTTTCTTTTTTTTATTTTTATTTTTATGAACAAAGAGGGATGCTAGTAGTGGATCCCTAGCAAATGTAGCTTTGTAGTGTACTTTGCCAATATGACAAGAGAATTGAGATAGGCTAGTGTTTGATAAACTCTCCACACACACCTGGATTGTTAGTTTGTTAGTACTTACATTACACAGGCATGTATCAATAGGGCTCAGTCCTGTACTGTATTATATGGATACAGCATTTTTGTATACAGTACTGTACTGTATCTGTATAAAAAATTTGACTCAAAAATATGGCATGTATTTTACAGGCTGTAACTGTATATAGTCTGTATAATACAGACTGTATACACCTGTATACAATATACAGCTACTAAATGAAAGAAACTCTCTCTCTAAACATAATACTGAAGCTCTAATAAGTAGTATTCAATGTTCAGACACTTATACTAGCATTTAGTAATATATTCAGCACTATTATTGTAAAAGTATGTGCAATCTGATATATATTCCGATATATACTATAATATAGGTACATCACATGACTCGACTTTATGACAAATATCACAGACTAAATTACATAACAAAATGTCAATAAGTCAAATTTTATACATTTCATGTAGATTAAAGCATAATATAGGTAGAATTCAATATTTCTATACTAAAGAGGTAATATCACAATGATGTAGCCCCTTACATCTCATGCTACACCTTGGTAAATGTAGCAACTACGCTGTATCCGTATATGGCGTATGCATTCTGTATACGGCCGTACCGTATCCGTATAGGTTTCGGGTTCAGAAATACGGCACCGTATTATACGAGCCGTATCCGTA